GCTTCCAGTATCGATTCCTGTGTTGCGGTTTTCTTCTTGAGAGTCTTGTGAAGTTCCACCATTCGTTCTCGTTTGGCTCTCAGTAACAGGACCACTTGACCCACTGGATGCTTGCTGCCCAAGAGATGATGATAATGATGGCTGTGCTTTTGGGTTGTTTCGAAGAGTGTCCGTTGCCTCTCCTTGTACGTTGTTGTGACCACTTAATGGTTCCTTTTCTTTTTGAAGTTCTGGACCATGCTGTTCAGATACATGCGGATCACTATCCCTTCTCTGCTCGCCAGTGCCGGGACCAGGACGACTATCTGGAACGAGATTTTCAGTGGCAACGTGACCACTCTCTCCAGGCCGAAGAGGAGCTGCAGGAAGTTTAGCAGTTGAAGGAGCACAAGCACCTTCTTTTTTTTCTGGGTCATCACAAGTACAACTATCAACAGCAGCTTCAGAATGAAGCCTTTGTGCAGCAGTGACATCTTCATCCGCCCCACAGACACATGCCACGCTAAGAAGCAAAGCCACAAGAAACAACAGACGGTGTAGCAACATCAAAAACGGAGTTTTCTTTCTCGTTTAAAGCAACACAACTGGGAAGACAAAAACAAAAGAAAGGATAAAAAACACACAAAAATATACAAATAAACTCTCACACAAAACAACGCTATGTATGAACATGAAACCTAAAAAAAAAAGGCTCTCCTCTCACACCGCCCAAACTCAATAAAAGAAAAATAAAATAAATTAAGAGTACAACCAAAGGCAACATCAAAAACAGATCAACAAGTTTGATTAAATTGACATGCAATTATATATAAATGTATTTCTGTATTACTTTTCTTTATTTCTGGAGAAAGCATATCATCATAACAATGCAGAGCAAAACACACAACGCCCCAGCACAAAGCGAAACCAAAGATATTAACCATTAGCCCAATTTACCCAGTAAACATAGAAATAGACCAACTATGGGTGTAAGTCTATGTGTGTATATATACGCAATTATAAATATAAATTCATCTGTTATTATTATTTCCTTTTCCTTTCCTGCAAAAAGCAGTTCATCATCATTACAGTGCAAAGCCCAGGTGCACACACAGAGAGAGTCTCCAAGAACACACACACACACATAATGGAGTAGCAATAATAATTATTATAGAATAAACACAGAAAGAGTAAAAAACACACAAAACACACATTAACATTAAGAAACAAAAAAAAAGAAAAGAAAATCCCAACAGGTGAAAAGATTAGTTAAACTGTAGTGTGGATTCATGCAAAAAAGAAAAAAGAAAACAAAGGATGACCTGAGTCACACCACACCACCACCATTACAATCAGCACACAAGAATACAGGCCAGTGTAACCACAATCAGTAGTGATACACGCACCCACACAGAACTGCTGATACTGCTGCTGCTGTCTGCGTCACCCTTCTTGTTGTTTGTGAGTTCAGGAGGAAGTGTTGTTGCTGTTGTGGTGGTGGTGGTGGTGATACTTGGTGTATCTG